CGGGGGCGGAGGGCGGCGGGGCGGAGGAAGGCAAAGAGACGGTGCTGGTTGTCTTCCTCGGGGGCGCTACCTTCTCAGAGATCTCCGCCCTGCGGTTCATCGAGCGCCGGCCGGGGTCCGGGGTACGGTTCCTGGCGCTGGCGTCAAAAGTGGTCAACGGGCGGACGCTGCTGGAGGGGTTTGTCGACCCATTGGTCAGGGCGTACCCCGGTGGCGCGCGGGCGGCGGCGGCGATTTAAGTCAGGGCGGTCACGTCCATGACCCCGCCTGCCTCGGCTGTGGCAGGAGGCGGAGGCTTGTAATGGTCCGACCGCTGATTTACAGGACAGTAAGGTGGATTACTGGCACGCTGTCGAGCTGTGACCAGTCATGGCCTGCCACTCTCCATCCAACTACACTTGTCACAGATGATTGCATTTGTCACAGACAACTTCAACTGCGACCAGTAATTGAGTGGCGGGAGCTGGAATGCAAATAGGCACCAAGCAAAGCTGCGGCCGCGAAAAAAACCCGACTCCCAAAGCACTGACATCATCCAAGCCGTCAACACCGCAGCTCCTTCTCCCCTCCTCAAAAATCGTCCAGGCCAGAGGGGGATTTGCCTGGTACGTATACACACAATGCTGGGACCTGCACACGACATGTGGGCGGTCAAAGCGAGGCACGGGGACGCGCCCTCCTGCAGAGAACACACAGCCGACGCGAACACACGGCAGGGGCCCGCACCAAGCGGCCATGCAAGAATCTCTGGCCTGGGGGAAAATGGGTCGGCGCACACAGGGGCCCCTTTGCCTCTCTGGTAGAGCCAAGGTCTTCAAAGATATAGACAGAAACGCCAATACGGCGGGGTCTCTCACACCGCAAAGACTCTCTCACGCGCACGAACAGTGCCGGGCTGCCCAGAGAAGGCATGGCTGTTCTCACAGCTAAGAAGGCCGCATCAACCCGATGGCAACCCGCGACTGCTGCTGGCCCCAACGCCCCTAGACCCCCCGCCACCGCCGCTCGCCCCTTCCGCAGCCGCCGCCGTGCTGCCGTCCGCATTGCGACTTTTGCTGCTGGCGCGGCTGGCCTGTGCAGCGTGGCACTCGGCCCTGTGTGCCTTCCAGGCCGCCCGCTGGCAGTCCGTGCCGCAGTACTTCACGGTGAAGCAGCCCTCGCACCACCGCAGCTTCACCCCCTCCCCGCCCGCCGCCCTGCCGCATACCGCGCACGCGCCCGCCGCGCCGGCCGGCGCGCGCTCACCCTTCCGCGCCGTTGTGCGGCACCGCTGGCTCGGCGGCTGGGGCTGGGCCGGTGTGGCTTGCGTCTCTTGTGAATTTTGGGGCACGGCCTCCGCGGCAGCACTGCGGGGAGGTGCCACGCCTGGTGGCGGCGATGCATGCTGTGGCCCTGGACGCTCATGCCGCCGCTGCTGCTGCTGCTGCTGCTGCTGCTGCTGAGAAGGTGGCGACGGGCTTGCCTGCGGCTGAGTCAGGTTTCGCGGAGCGCACGCCGCCACCACTGCCGTCGCACCGCTTGCTGCAGACCCGCTGTTAGAGCGTCCTGCTGCTGCTGCTGCTGCTGCTGCTTCTACTGCTGCTGTCGCTGATTTTGTGGATGTTGCTGCAGCTGCTGCCGCTGGCGCTGCTGTTGCCGCTGCGATTGCCGCTGCTGCTGCGGGCGCGGCTGCGGCTGCTGATCCTCCTGGGCGCGCCTGCACGCCTGCCGCCGACACCCCGGCAGCCGCCTTGGGCCTCGCCGCCAGGAAGCCCCGACTCAGCCCCTGCCGCGGCCGCTGCTGCCCAGCCGCTGCGGCCGGCGGCCCGACCCCGGCCGCGGCCCGGCCGGCGGCCGGCCCGCCGCGGCGCGCTGCCTCCGCGCCCGTCGAGCCCGGCGCTGGACTCGTGCGAGGTTCGGCCGGCTGGCCGTGGGCTTGCGCCGCTGCCCTCTCCAACTCGTAGAGCAGCTGATAATATGGGTCCCACATTGCCGCGGCAATGTTGAACGCGCTCTTTGGGACGCAGGCGTCCACGGCTTGGAGGAGGTCGGGCGCAGCAGCGAGGGCCCGGGCCGCGTACCCCTCGCCCATACCGTTAACCAGGGCCAGCAGCGCGATGCAGCAGTCCCTGCACGCGCCCGTGCGCTGTGTGCGCCACGTCTCGCAAATCGCGGCGGCGACGCTGCGCAGGAGCGGCGGCGACACGAACGCGGCGCCGGCGGCGGCCTTGCGGCGCGGGTCCGGCTCGTGCGTCGCGCCTGTGAAGATCACGCGCAGGATTATCGCAGTGTAGTCTGCCAGGCACTCAAAGCAGACGCCGCCGATCGCGTGTGGCGAGGCGCACGGCCGGACCTCAGAGGGCAGCGGGGCGGACAGCAGCCGCCCGAGGCCGGCCAGCGCCGCGGGTGCGCGCGCAACCTCGGACGTGACCACCACGGCCGAGGCCTCGTCGATGGCACCGAGGTCGGCGCTCGCCGGCTGCGAGACGCTGTGCCGCACGAGCGCCGTGGCTGCGTGCAGCGCGAGCGCGTCGGCGGTGCCGCACCGGCCGTCGGCGGCGCCGAGCGCCGCGACGAGCGCGTGCAGCGCACCGCCGGGGCCGCGCAGCGCATGGCGCTGCGCGTCTGCGCCGGCCAGCGCCATCTCGCTGAGCGCCGCGGCGGCCGCCACCCGCACGTGCATTTCGTTGCTCGGTGCCAGCATCCCCGCCAGGCTGCCCACCGTCGCTGGGACCGCCGCCTCCGAGCAGCGCCCCACCATCCACAAGCGCCGCAGCAGGTCGGCCGCGCGGATGGCGGCCGGCCCGCCGCCGAGCGTGGCGGTCAGGCGGCCCAGCGCGCGGCCGTCGGCTTCGAGGGCGGCGGCGACCATGAGCGCGTGGCCCGAGCCGGCTATGACATTCAGGAACCGCCCCACGCCGCGGTCCCACCCCTCGCGCCCCGCGCCGACCGCGCCGACGGCTGCCTCCACCAGCCCCGCGTGCCGCGGGCTTGCCAGGCGGTCCGAGTCCTCCGGGCGGTGCATCATCGCCTGGCCGAGCGCCGCGCCGGCCGCGCACGCGGGGCCGACGTTCACGGTGCAGAAGACCGCAGAGCCCTTCGGCGGCTTGGGGAAGGCGGCCGCGGGCGGCCCGCAGGCGCGCTTCAAGGCGTCTGCCAGCGCATCGAGCACGTCTCGGGGCAGCGGCGCCACCTGCTTCGCGACCTCCTCCAGCACGCTCCCGAGCTCCGCGACGCGCGCCGCGTCCGCGCCCGGGCCGCCGAGCAGCGCCGGCGCGAGCCGCAGCACGCGCGTCGCGGCGCCGCACGCGACGAAGGACGCGAGGCGCGCGGGGGAGCTGAGGAGGAGTGTGTCCAGGAGGCCGGCGGCGTTGGTGGCTATGGCCGGGTCGGCGCATTCCAGCAGCGAGACGACGCGCCTCCACGTCTCCGGCGCGACGCTGCCGCCGGGGTCGGCTTCCAGCTGGTCGTGGACGAAGCCTTGACCAACGGCGAGCTCGTGCTTCTTGGGGAAGCGCCGCGGCGCGGCCTGGGGGCCCAGGAGGTCGACAGCCATTAGCACTGCGCCGTCAAGCGTCAGGCAGGCGCTGCTGGTGGGCGCCCGTGCCTGCGCAGTGCTTGCGACCCGCGGCGGCATCCGTACTGGCCTATGCCGACAGTGTGTTGACTTATAATACCACAAGACTCCTGACGGTCCGCTGCATGACAACTGTGGCTAGTCGACTGGGGGGTTCTACGTACGTGTACTTTCAGAGATGATCAGGCGACTCTTGTAGGTGTTGCGACCACAATTATATGAATGTTGTCGATTGTACTGTCAGCCTTGGCCTGGGGCTATGCATATCCTTTGGTGGCTCTCTGCGGAGGCACTGCAGGCCAGGCGTGCTCTCAGGTGCACAGTGTGTGCGCGCTTCTTGGCTCGCACGAGGCCTGCTACGATAGACCCAGTGGCCGGAAGTAATGCAAGAGTTTGCAACAATTACAGAATGGCACAATGTGCCACACAGGCGAGCACAGATAAGTCACTGCCCGGCACAAGCCCCAACACAAGCCCCGAGTTCAAGTACCGATGCCAACACACCGGCTTGCCGGCATGCTTTCAGATTAGACATATGCGAGAATTGGATAGAAAAACTGCCGCTGGCACTGATTGCATGCTTGTAAACAATTCCATCATGCAGTGTGGTCGTTGCTAATGTGCCACCACACTTGTGCCTTTGCAAAGTGCCAAGAGCTGGGCCTTTCCTTCCTCCCCTAAACACTTGTATTGGGCGACTCAACAACTGGTCAATTGTCAGCCGCCACACCACTAGCCCTAGCGGGCTTGAATTTGCAGTTATGTTTGTGCTCAATATGCCTGGCCAGCCACCATTACCATGATATCTAATGTCTGACCGCACTGTTGCAACCTCGTAGACAGAGGGACGTTTACTGGAGGCAATTCAGGCATGTAAGCCAAAGCATTGGCGGTCAAAGCGTCAAACACCGTTGACCAACCTATTGCTTGCTACACGGCTATATTTGCAATTGCATCGACACTCTCAAATGGCTGCATGACTATTATCTTAGCTTCAGTGGCATGTCGAGGCTGTTTGAGCAATGCATGTGCGTTCAGAAAATCACATGCCCTGTCTCCAGGCACGTTGGGGCGCCAAAAAGCAGGTGCCATCGCAGTGGAAAATTTGATTTTTACGCAACTCCGCCTCAATTCTTGTCGAGCACATTCAAGGCGCAGCTTGCTCTTTGTCACTCTCAGATCAGGAGTGATCTGCCGCTCCATTCCTTTTGGTGCTGTCAAGGCCGCGTACACTTGTCTTTAACCTAGGTGGATAGCGGTGCCTTCTCTTGCCTGCCTACAACCACGCGCAGGACGGCATACAGCACCTATGTGCACACACCCTTGTCTGCATGCGGTCTCTTTGGGCATGGTGAGCATGAATATCATCTAATTGATCCATCATGGCTCCTAGGAAGGGCGTCTCGCCCAGCTTGGACGTCAGCTCGGGCAGCGGGCTGTACGACGCAAGAAACTACTGGTTTAGCTTCTTGAAAGCTATTTCCAAGACCGCGAAGAAGTTTGATGGCTCGGATACAGCTGCGGCGACGGCTGCGCAGCTGCAGTCGGCGCTGGCCTGGGCGGAGCGCGACGGTGCGGCAAAGTTTGAGGCCGCCGCCGGGGAGGGCGGCAGCAAGGAGTTCCTGCATCGGCTGGTCTTTGGTCATATCGTGAGAGCGATCGGCGCGGACCTGCAGAAGCTGGTGGCGCTGGGCGCACGGCCGCCCAACGACGACGTGCAGCGCGTCCTCCTGCTGCTGGAGCAGGCAGTCGAAGTGCTGCGGCACGGCCTGGAATACCGCGGGTACCGCTCCATGACAGGAATCCAGCTGCGCGTCGACCTCTTGAGCATCCAGCTGCTGCTGCGTGAGGCCGACGGCTTCGACGACGCCGACATTAGCGGCGTTGCAGTGCACAACTTACATTTGCGGAACCTGGCGAACTTTGTTGTCGAGAACCTGGCGGCCGGCTGGGAGGACGAGGCGGCGTTCGTCAACATATTCCAGGAGAACCCGCCGTGGGAGGCCAAGAAAGGCAGCACGTCGCTCGCGCTGGCGGCCGCCTACAAGGAGACCTGGGACGCGTTCTACAAGGCGCACTACCAGGCGCTGAGGGCGGCGTCGGTGGGGGCCGAGCAGACCGAGCTGCGGGACAGGATGAAACCCGTGGTCCTCAACTATGGAAATGCCGTCAAAGCGCTGGGACCAGCGGCCAAGGTGCGTGCGCTGCGGGGGTAGGGGCGGCGCTGCTGCCTCCGAGGCCCACCCCGCGGCTGCGGGCGCGGGCGGGCTCACATGCGCGTGTCAGGGTTCTGGCTGATGACTTCCAATTCTCGCAGCCATGCGCTGGCTGATGCTGAATCGCCCATGCATGTTATTGCCTGTCCATCGGCCCGGCTTTGCAGGATGACCAGCAACCGCAGCAGCAGCCGCAGCCGGCGCTGCCTGCGGGGGCTGCCGCCGCCGAGCAGCAGGCAGGCGGCGACGCCCCTGGCCGGCGCGGCGCGGCGGCGGCGGCCAAGGAGGACAAGAGGCGGGGCGAGCTGCGGCCGCCAAAGGTGGACAAGAAGGTTGACGAGCGGACGAGGGCGCGGCAGGAGAATGCCAAGAAGGTGGGGCGGAGTTGGAGGGGTGCGGTCGCGGAGGCGCACCGGTGCCGCGGCGGAGGCGGACCCGTGCAGCATGGGTGGGCAGCACCGGCTGCCGGATCTGCGCCGGCCAGGGGCATTTGGAAAGCTGTACTATTGACCGTTGCATGCCGCCCATGCTTTCGCAACGCCGCCCCTCCCCCCAAGGTCTTGGACCACATCCGCCGGCAGCTGAAGCCGGCGCCCACCCCCGAGGCGCGCATGGCGGCGCTGCGGGCGATGACGGCCGTGCCGCGCGGCGCCAAGCTGACCGAGCTGCTGCGGGGCCTCGTCAGGCCGGGGGCGGATCTGACTGACATCATCACGGCGATGACGCGCACCTGGCACCTGCCAGAGGTGCGGTGACGGACGATGATGTCATCTACCACCGGGGGAGGGCAGGGGGGCGCGCGGGGCTGCTCCGCCTGCCGGCGGGCTGGAAAGCGGACGGCGCATGCGGCCCCGTTGCTCCGCGAGAGCGGATCGGCGGGGTTGCATTTGTCCACGGTGCACGCGCAACGCCATGCGCCCACACGCGCACTCGCATGCGCACCTCGGCTGCGCCCGCAGTCGCTGGCGGCGCCCGCCGCGGAGGGGGAGCGCGAGCGAGAGGTCAAGGCGCAGCTGGAGGCGCTGGCGGCGGCGCCGGAGGCGTGGGTGTCCTACATTGCGCACGGCATCGACGAGGACGGCGCGCCGCGCCACACCGCAGCGCTGGGGCTGCCAGCGGCGCTGGAGCAGGCTGGCGAGGAGGCGGTGCGTGCGGAGCCCGGGCGGTTGGGCGCCGGGGGTTGCGCTGCCTTTGCGGGGGAGGGGGCGGTCTGGTGGCGACGGGTTGGACTGCCCTGCAGGCGAGCACGCCTGCGTATTATGACCGATTCAAAAAGTAGGAAGCCGCGGCCAACGCGCGCGGCCTCGCCAGACGCGGCTGCGCACCTGACATTGGCCCAGCCCGCCGCCGCGGCCCGCTCTCTCACCGCAGTGCGCGCCGCCGTCGCGGGCACTGCGCGCCCACTTGGAGCCGCGGCTGCATGCGGGCGGCGTGCCCAGCGCGCGAGACGTCTATCTGGGGCAGGTGGAGGAGTGGACTGGTGGCGTGGCCGCCGCCGCAGCAGCGGAGGCGGAGGGCGCTGGGCCGCAGGAGCTGGCGGCGGTGGTGCCCCTGGGGCGCGAGAGCGGCGCGACGGGGAGCCACATGTGGGCACGTGCGTTCGCCAACGTGAGCAGGGACTTGTCATGGGAGGCGCCTTGCTTTGGGGGGGTTGACCTGCTAAGCAGCTGCCCCGTCAGCCGCCGCACAGGCTTTGAGGACGTCCCTAATGCGGACGCACCCCGCCCCCTCCCCTCCAACACACACACACACAAAAAAAAACACACACACACACGCACACACACACGCACACACACGCACACACACTCACCCTCTCAGTGTGACTTGGCAAATCTCATCTCGACTCAGAACATAATGTCAGGGACCTTTTCGCCCTCACCGCTCCCCCTCCTCAACCCCACAATCGCTCCTCAAACCCATCATCCCCCGTCCCCCCCAAAGGAGGATCCCCTTTCCAAGTACCTGCGGGAGCTGGAGATCGCCACCTTGACAGGTGGGGACCACAGGACTGCCCTGCAGCCTGCTGCGCTCTAGCCACACCAGACAATTGCTCCTGTCACATGCTGGCTGTGCAATGCTGACACGCCTGTCTGTAGAACAGAGCGCACACATGCGTGCTGGATACCCGCAAGCGCATGCAAATGGCATGCATGCGCCACGGATGTGCAGGCACGCATGCCTGCTGCATGTGTGTGCAAATCTGCATTCACACATGCAGCATGCATGCATGCCTGCATGCATGCGCGTGCGTCTGCACGTATCGGGTTGCAGGCATGTAGAACCCGCGCGCATGCGTGCCGCACACAAGCACATGCGCACACACCACACACACACACACACACACACACACACACACACACACACACACAAGCACATGCATCCGTGCATGCATGTACATGCACATCAGCACCCACCCAACACACACATGATCACGCACAACTCCACACACCAGATGACGGCTTCCACCAGCTGCAAATCAAGTCGCTGGATTACTTGCCAGACGACTTTGAATGGGACTACGTGAGCACTTTGCAAATGCCACACAAATGGCACCCGCGTCAGATGCATCCTCCTTTGCGCATACAGCGCTCAGATCGGCCCAGCACTGCGGCCCTGTGGCGTGGCAGACGCTCAGGGACAGCCCCAATCACGAGCAGCCACCACGCAGCCGCGGCAGCCCTCCGCCTCGCCGAGGCCTCGCCCTCAAGCCTCTCCCCGCGCCCACCACCGCGGCCCCACCAGATTGACTCGGACTGCGGCGGCGCCCCGTACGCCTGGAAGGCGCAGGGGCACAACCTAGTCCGCGGCTTTGCGGCGCTGCAGGCGGGGCGCGGGGAGGTGCCGCCCGGCCAGGCGGCCGCGCGGGCCGCGGGCGACAGGGCGGTTCTTCTGCGCCTGGTGCTGCTGGAGTCGCTAACGTTGGGGGAGTTTCAGTGGCGCAGCTCGAGCATCCAGAAGTATTTCACGACTGAGGTGGGCGAGAGGGTGTGTGTGTGTGTGATCGAGGATTGCAGTTGTGGCTGTACATGTGTGCATGCGTTTTTGTGTGTGCATGTGTGTATTCACGTGTGCGCATGCGTGTATGTGTGTGTTTTTGTATGAACACGTGAGTGTGTGGCTTGCGGTTGACTGGCTAGCAGGCTGCCAGCTGGTTGGCCGGCTGGGTCGTGCAGGAGTTGAAGTGGGCGGGCTGGCCCTCATGCGCGCCGTGGCGATGGGCGCAGACACCAAGGGTGGCCGCTGCAGCAGGGAAGCCAAGCTCCTGGCGCCCTGCCGCGCGCAGCTGCGCCGGCGCCAGCGACAGTACAGTGCTGCTCGCCTCGGACCCCGCGCTGAACGGAACGCTTGCCCCGCGCCCTGCAGGCCGGCCAGGCGCTGATGCGGCGTGTCATGCTGGGCTCTGAGGACGGTGTGCCACGAGGGCAGGGGCTCCCGTCATGCGGGCCTGGGTGGGGGGTGCCGCTTGCAAGCATGCAGCCCAGGCCGCGGCAGACCGCCCTTTGTAAGCATGGGCCGTAATCTCACCGCCAACTACGCTGGATGTACGCCATATCTCCCACCGCCCCAACTTCAGCATGCCCATCGTCTTGCAGGCCCCCTCAACAAACACACACATGCACGCTATGCAACAAGCAAACACTCCGCCCCCGTCCCCGCAGCCCGCCTGAAATCCGACCTCGACGCGCCAACACTGCTCTCCGACGCCGCCGACGCGCTCGCCGCGCTGCGCCGCGACGGCCTGCTGCGCGGCTCGCTGCTGACCGCGCTGCAGCTGGCCGCGCACCAGTGGCTGCCGGGCGTGGTCGGCGAGGACCCCTTTGCGCTGGGGGCGGACGGGCTGGCCGAGCGCGTGCTGCCGCAGCTGGGGGTCGGGCGGCTGCACCGGCTGCGCCACTTCCTGCTGCAGGTGGGCGCGGACCCGTGTGCGCGTGCGGGGCGCGGCGGCTGCCATTGTGCATCGTCAGGCGCGGCTGTGGATGTCCGCTCGCATGCGTATGCACGGGGCAGCCGAGACGGCACATGCCGTGACGAGACGGAGCACATTCTTTGCGCCAGCAGTAAGCAGAGGGCGCCGGCGCCGTCCCCTCGACCGGCGCCGCCCATCCGCCGCGCGCTGGGCAAGAGAGGGCAAATGCGCATCCTCGAGCGCTTCTTGTTCGCCTGCACCACGACCTTCTGCACTCACAGGCGCTTTCGGCGTTTGCGGCCGACCTCTCAGCGGTGCGCGCCTGCCGCGAGCACGAACACACGCGGGAGCTCTTCATCGCCGCCGACCTGGCGCCCGACACGAGCGGCGGCGGCGGCAAGGGGGGCCGCGGCGGCGGCGGCGGCGACAAGGGCAGCTTCCTGCAGCTCTCAGAGGATTACTACCGCGCGGTGAGCGCTGGCTGCTTGCAGGCCGCTTCAGGGCGGTCGGTCGGGCTACGGATGTAAATGAAGGGGGCCTGGCTGCAAGAGGAGCGTGGTTGGGCAGCGCAGGGGGGCCGCGACGGGGCGCCTGCTGCGCCGCTGCCTGCAGCATGGCCGCCTTGCTGCCGTGCCTCGTTTTGCTGGCCGCTTGCTGGCCGATGCCAGCCTGCTGTCGTTGCATCTTCCAACATACTCGCGCGCGCGCACACACACACACACACACACACACACACACACATGCACGCGCGCGCACACTATGTGTACCTCACACCCATGTGCACGTACACGCTCTCACATGCCGACCCACTTGCGTGCACGCAAACGCACTCGCCGCACCCACATGCATCACCCCACCCCGCACGCAGGTGTATCAAGAGGCGACCTACCCCACTCCCACCCCCTGCTGCACCCCGCACGTGGTCGCGCACAAGGCGGCCCTGGCGCAGGGCAAGCCCCCTGGCCTGGTGCCCCAGGCCGCGGGGGCAGACGAGGAGGCGGAGGCGCCGGCGTGCGAGGCCGTGGGTCAAGGGGAGCAAATGGCTGCAGTCGACGACGACCTGGTGGGCTGGGGAAGGGGGGGGTGTTGCTTTACCTTGATGAGGGTGGGGTGGCAGTGGGAGGGGGACGGGGCTCGGCCCCTCATAAGCCACCCCGTTTACGCCGCCGCCGCAGGCGCTGCCGGTGCCGCCGCGGCGGGCCAGGCTGCGCCGCTGCTGCAAATGGGGGGGGGGGCGGCGGGGCGCAGCGCCCACAAACCCCGCGGCCGGGCGCGCGGCCGCCCCCGGCCCCACAGCGCGGGAACCCGCGAGCCCCACGGCGTGCGCCCCCCACCCTAGAGGGCCCCGCGCGCCAAAACCCCCTGCCCGCTTGATCTGGACCCCGTCCCTCCGCTTCCCGCAGCTGGATCTTTACCTTTTCGGCAAGGGCGTTGCCGGCCGCGGCGCGGCGCGGGTCGAGGCGTGCGGGGACGCCGGCGACGAGGCCCTGGTGAAGACGCTCTTTGTTCCACAGGTGCGCGACGGCCCTCCCCTTTGGTCCTCACCTTTGGTCCTCACCTTTGGGTTGATGCCGACCATGTTGGCGCCACCCGGTCGCTGCAAGCGGCGTCGACCCGGCGGCCCGCGGAGGGGTCGGCGGGGCGCTGTGAAGGCACACCTCAGTCATGGGTTCAGCCCGGGGCGGTTGGGCAGCGTGGGACTCGGGGCCCGGGCTGGGCCGCTCAATGCAAGCTGGCGGCACGTCGCCGCTCGCTGAAGGGCGCAAAGGGTGCGCGTTTTGCGTGCGCACGGCCTGCCACCTCGAAGCCTACGCCCCGCCCCGCCCCGCCTTTGCGGCCCCCTGCACGCAGGAGACTGTGGCGGAGTCCACCTGGTGGAAGCTGCCCACCCACGCCGCGCGCGTCGACCGCCTGCGGTTCCTCCTGGCAACTGCTGCGCAGCTGGCGGGCGAGGGCGCGGAGATGCGGCGCCGGCTGGCGCGCGTGCCGGCGGTGGTGTCTCGCGCGCGCGCGGCGGAGGCGGAGGCGGCGGGCGGGCCCGGGGCGGTGGCGGCGGTGGAAG